TTTCAGTCGCATGTGACTTTATAATATAATTATATTATGAAATCACATGCGACTGTGAGTTTCAAGATATAAATAAAGGAATCAATTTAAATCTACATAAACTACTTTTCCTTTAACATTATTCTTTACCTATGATTGTTGTGATATATTACACTAACTTGCTATTGAGTTCGTCATTACGAGTTTGACTAACATATCTTAAATTCTAAGACGTGATAAATTGTCAAGTTGATTCAAGTATAACGAATACCTGTAGGACTTAAAGAAAATCCTAAGGTCAGAAACTCTAACGTGTAGAATCAGCTAACATAGCCTTTTAACTTAAATATTAAGATAAACGAAAATAATCCAGTGATAATATAAAGTTATCTTTTTAAAATTTTACAATCCATATTTTAAATTAACTTCAATTTTAAAATATTATTTTTTTCTATATTAATACATTAATTTTTTTTTTGTTAGCTTAAATTTTTTTATTTACTTATTAAGAAATCATCAAATTATTAATAGTAAACTTATAAAAAGCTATTTATTAACTGTAATATTTTGTATTTTATAAAATTTAAAATTTTTTTACTAAATAAATATAATAAATAAAAGGTGATACTTAAAATTAAAAGAATATTAATTATTATTATATAAAAAATATTTTAAGATATATATAATAAAAATCTTATAAATCATTTAAAAAATTATCAAATTATTTATTTTATTAATTTTAATTTATAAATCATTATATAAATATATTTTATATTTATTTAATTTTATTTATTAATTTTTTTTATAATTAAATCTAATTAATAATAAAATATTAAGAAATATTTTTAAAATAAATTTAAATAATTTTTTAAAATGAAAACAAAATAATTTATTATATATATATTATTAAAATTAGTTTCATTATTTATAAAATATTTTTTATAAAAATTGTTATTATTTTATTTTTAATGTATTTTATTATTAAATAATTCTAAAATATTATATAATAAATGATATTTGTAGAAAACTTTAATATTTTTTTTTTTCTAATTAATAAAATTAATAATGAACTTAAATTAATTATATAATAATAAAATAATTAAAAATTATATTTTTATAAAGTATAATATTAATTAGATTTATTATTCTAATTAATAATATTATAATAATTTTATTTAATAATATTTTTTAATAATATTTTTAATAATATTTATATATTATATATAAATTTCTTAGTAAATATAAATGTATAATACAGATTATATAATATATATAAATTTATGTGAAATTGTGTAATGTGATTTAGTGTTAAATTAGTATTTATTACGCCATTCTTTATTTTGTTTTTACTAATTAATCTGAAAACTTTTAAAAGCTTTTATTATTTTATTAGTTAAAATACAATAAGATTTTGTTTATAATTTATCAATTATCAATTAATATTTTAGTTAATTTTATACTATTGGTTAAAATTTTTTTTATTTTTTAAAAAATATTAAAATTATAAAAAATAAATAATATATTATTTAATAATAAAAAATTTATATTTTAATAATAAGAAATTTTTTTAATTTTTTTAAAAAACTGCTTAATTTTTTAATATATATATAATTGTTTTTTTATCTAATACAAAAAATATAATTCTATATATAGTATTTAATAAAATATTAAATGTCAAATATCTCGGTAAAGAATATATAATGATAATTTAAGAAATACTAATTTTAAAAGTTGTTTTTATTTACAAAATACATCATACATTAAGAAACAAATAAAGTAAGTTTTATTCTTTACCCTTTTTTATGTTTTAAAATTTTTAATAATACCCGATTTAATATATTTCTCAATTATTTTCATGTTTTTTAAAATCATGATAATAATGGTAAAAGAAAGTGATTTTCGTACGATTCGTCCCAACTTAAAAAGAATTTCACTAATTCATCCGGGAATAAATATGAGATCGTTTCAAACGCATAATAGATTTTTAACTCATACATGTTCATGGGGGAATACTTTGCTATGACCTCCAATAATTTTTTTCATAGTATTACACAAAATTCTAATACATTCCAAATGATAACAACTTTTTAAGATAAATTTTAATGTCTCTAATCCGTAGTTGAAAATAAACTATATAAAGATTTCAAAATTGATCCATGATTAAATTTAATGAATCATTAGTATCATCATTATAAAACTCCTTCCAAATGTTTTCCATTAATTAAATATTCATAAATATTTGGAAAAATTTAAAACTTTTAAATGAGGGAAAGTAATATATGTTGTAATTCCTTAAAATCCCTGAAATCATCAAAATCTTCAAACACAATTCTCATAAATTTGTGAACTTGGATAAAGGCATATAATTTTTTTCGAGGTAAAGGTCTAATTTGATCAATGCATCCGGCAGAAGAAAGTATACCCATCACATCCATAATAAGCAACATAAAGTTGGAATTTTTTAAATTATTTTTTAAACAAAAAAGGTTGGTTATTTGTCCAATCAAACAAAACAAACTATCAAACAAATCGAGACGAAATTTGATTGGGGTAGCAAGCCTGAAATTTAGCAAGTTCACAACATTTTTTGGTTAGTAACAATTTTTAGTATAAAAAAAAAAATAATTGAGGATAATTCAAGTTAGGTTGCGATTTATCGCCAAAAAATATCGAGTTATGAACAAGCAAATCATATGATCCGTGACGTGATTTTATTTTAATAGCAAAACCTCCCATTGTTATTTTTTGGGGGCAATGGCGTGGCGTAGCAAATCTTTCCCCAAGAAAACATTGTCCTTTGAAAATTTTAAATCTTTTTATCTTTGTATATTTGTATATTATTTGCACGGCACTAATCATAACAACGATCAATTGAAAGTAAGCTTATTTAAGAAATAATTATGTTTGCTTCAATTTTATGCTTTCCTCCTTGTAAATTTTGCGTTTAACGTTAACGTTAATGATTTACATGTAATTTCTAAGATCAAAAAGGAAATTAGTTATGTAAAACGAATTGTAGAACAAAAAGTTATTAAAAAAAGGGATAATTTATTCCTTTACTGAATAACGAATAACGAATTTTCGTCTTCGGTATTACGCGCTTGCCGATCACATGATTTCCGTGTTATAGTACCCCTTTATCAAAATACCTCCATCGGTAATATAGAACAAGGAACGGGTGTACCGCTCCTAAATAATAAGAAAATACACGAATGCGTGATTTTGCGGATCACTAAACTAATAGAATTAGTACATCATCGATGCGAATCATAGCACACTTAAAAGTGAAGAAAAATTTTGATGGTTTACATCATAAAGATCCAACATTCGATAAAACGACCAAAATATTTCTACGTTAATCTACGACATTTAAATTACTTATATAAGAATATCTAAAATGATAGTATGTAAATATTTAATAAATATCAAATCCAACAAACAAATCTTATCGTGAATAACCCCCGAAAATTTTTTTAATTCACTAATATTTATTAAAAAGACGGGAAATTAAGTATTATTATTATTATTTCATTTGTAATTGTAAAAATAGAATTAATAAATAAATAAATAAATAAATGGATAGGATCAAATCAAATAAATTAAATAAATTAATTACAATAGTTTTTATTCTTCATAGTCCTTTATAACTTTAAATTTCTTAATGACATCTAATTTACTATATTTTTCAATTATCCTCATATTTTCTTCTTTAACCTTTAAACTATACCCTACTATAACAAAAGAAAGGGTTACTCGTGGTACACGTTTCGACCAATTTATAAAAAAGTTTTCTAATAAATCATCAGAAAATGATTCGGTTTTCGTATCATAAGGATAACACAACCTTAACTCGAATAACTTTTTTGGTGAATATTTCGCAATCACATCAAATAAATCCTTCTCATTTAAATAATTTTCCGAGAACCAAATCCCACACCAAACTTTAATACTTTCTAGTTGTCGACAATTATTCAAGATTAACCTTAACGTCTCGACTTCACCATCCAGAAATGTGGTGAATAATGATTTCATGTTTGGACAAAATTTTGCGATGGCCAAATTTAATGAATTATTCGTATCAATGTAAAATTCTTCCAAATTCTTTCCATTGTTCTCCAAGAATTTGATCAAGTAATCTGATGCCGGACATTTATTCGGAAATTTTAAAACGCGCAATTTTGGAAAGACGACGTGTTGTAATTCTTCAAAATCCTCAAAAGTATATCCAGAATCAAAAGATAATAAGAGTTCTCGTAAATTTGTAAATTTGGAGATAAATAACACCGTTCTATAATAATACTCCCCATAAAGGTTTAACACGGTTAAATTTTCGGGAAGGTTGATTGCCGATGAAATGATATCTGCTATGTCTATCATATAATTATCATCATAAAAGATGCTCAAGCACGTAAGATTCTGTTGAGAGGAAATCAAATTCGCCAACCCGTCTGTAATATCACTTTCAACCCTTATCGTGAGTGATTGTATGTTATGACTTAGTAATGATATTCGATGAAAAAATTCGGAATAAAACGAACTAAAGCCCAACACCGTGAGATCTTTTAGACATTCCGTCGCTCCAGGATAAGTGGTGAATGGTATATTCGAAATGTAGTCTGAGCTAAAGTAAACGCTTAGTTCTTTCAAATAAATTTGTTTCATGATCATTTTAAATACTTCTTGCATGACCACACTTCGTGAAGTAACAGGGTGTTTGTTTCTAAGAATACTCGCAATCTTTCTGTCGATTTCATCAATCGAAATACGTCTGAGGAACGATACATAATTGAATAGAGGGGATTTAGGATAAGGGAATTGGATAACGATTTCATTCTTGTACAAGACTTCTTTCGATTTAGTAGGAAGACAAGCGACTAAAGTATTATAATTCCAAACGCTTCTCCATAAGATTCGAACAGAGACCTCGCACCAAAGACGATCAACTAATAAACACGAGTGTAGAGTAACTTTGTCTTCCAAATATTCAAGAATTTCATTTAAACAGTCAATAGGAAGTCGACACATTTTTTATTTTTATTTTTTTTTTTTTCGGTGTATTTGATAAAAAATAAATTTAACGAGTTTAAGTTATCAACAAAAAAAAAAAAAGGGAAAAAAAAAGATATTTAATTGTTAATTGTGTCACCAACCCTGTGGATCGGTGGGTATTTTATCTTAATTTGGTAAAATTTAATATTCAATCAAACCGTTTTTTTGACATATTTTGATTTATTAAGGTAATTACTGCGGTTTTACTTTTTGGAGAATATTCGAAAAGAAGATCCAACTATTTATATCGTATGATGATGAGCCCTGTTTATTTAACAAAAAAAATCATAACTACTGCGCCTCAACCAAATAGATATATATTTTTTTCCCGATAGGGTAATCTCTAATTTTCTTCATAATCCTTTATGATTTTAAATTTATCAATAACACCTAATTTAATATATTCTTCAATCACTTTCATGATTTCTTCCTTAACCTCTAAAATATATCCCACGATCATAAAAGAAAGTGATTTTCGTGGCGTACGATCCTTCCAACGTTGAAAAAAGGTTTCCAATTCAACCGAAGGTATTTCAAATTGTACATTGTATGGATAACATAACCTTAACTCGCAAAAATTTCTAGGGGAATGTCTTGCAACAACGTCAAACAACTCTATTTCATCTAAATAGTATTCTCTAAGCCAAACGCCACACCAAACTTTAATGATTTCCAGTCGTTGACAACTGTTCAAAATCGTTTTCAACGTTTCGACTTCATCATCCAAAAATGTAGTGAATAATGATTTCAAATTTGGACAAAATTTAGCGATGGCTAAATTTAATGAATTATCGGTAATGTCAATATCAAACTCTTCTAAATTCTTTCCATTGTTCTCCAAAAATTTAATCAAATATTCATGATTCGGACATTTATTCGGAAATTTTAAAATACGTAAACGTGGAAAGGTAACATCTTGTAATGTTCGAAAATCTTCAAAAACGTATTCGTAATCAAATGATAGTATGAGCTCTCGTAAATTTATGAAATTAGTAATGAATAACAATGATTCATAATTCCCCGTCCCATTAATCTGTAATCTTATTAAGGTGGTTGAATGTTTGGTCAATAAAGGGACTATATACGATAAACACTTGTATGATTGGTGGATGGTCAAGTACTTTAAATTTTGTTGAACGGAAATTAGGTCCGCTAACCCGTTCGAAATGTCACTCCTAAATTGTACCCCAAGTGATTGGATGTTATGACACATTTGAGATAGTTGATAAAAAAATTCGGGATAAATATCTGAATTACAACTTAATGTTGAAAGGTTTTTTATGCAATCTATTGCTCCAGGGTAAGTTCCAAATGTGCTATTTCGAAAGTGGTTAATAATTGAATAAAATTTTAATTCTTTCAAAGAAGCTTGCCTCATAATCATCTTAAATATCTCCTGTGCCACTACGCCTCGTGAGATGGGTTCTTGATTTTTAAAGAGATTATCAATATTGTCATGAATTTCATCAATTGAAAGGCACTTGATAAATGTGATATAATTAAACAATGGGGGTTTTGAGGTTGAAGTTGAAATAATAATTTCTTTCTTTTTTAAAATTTCTATCGATTCGTCGGGAAGGCAAGCAATTAAAGTATCATAATTCAAGATATTTCTCCATAAAATTCGAACAGAGACCTCACACCAAAGTCGATTGACTAATAAGCACGAATTTAGAGTAACTTTGTCTTCCAAATATTCAAAAATTTCATTTAAACAGTCAGCAGGAAGTTTAGACATTTTTGTTTCTTTAATAAAAAAATTTCAGTTGTGGGTGAAAAAAAGAAGAGTTCGTTTTTAGTTTAAACCGGAAAAAAAGGGCATATTTAAGGAAGTTCATTTATATAGTGTAACATCCATGCAGCATTTTTTTTTTTTTTTTAAAAAAAAAAACATTCAATTCATGTGGTATTATTGCTAAACTCTATAAATTTGGCCCGATTTAATGAAAATTGTGCGGATCGGCCGGAATTGCATGTGAATCACTTACCGAATAAAATAACCTGTTAGTTTATAGATTCAATCGATCAGACGATCATCACCAAGATAATGAATTTTCAGAAGTTGGCGAGGCCAAAATTCATACCTACTTTTATGTGTATGTCAAATATATATTATAAAAAAAAAATTACATTTGAACACTATCTTCTGGCACAATAGCTTCCAAATTCCTTTCAATGTATTTTGAATCAGGAGGATGATTAATTTCTTGTTCAGAGTCCCCTTGTATGAATGATCGTTTTTACCATGAATACGACGAAAAGAAAAGTACATTATCATCAGATAGTGATTACAACCAACCATCACGATATATAAAAATTAATTGTAAAAAGATATCATGTTGTATTATAAATTCCAATCCTTCTTTTCACGAAACCTTATTTCTATCAAATAGTTATTAATGGGCTTCAAAGCTTGTTTAAACTTTTGCATCACATTCCCCAGCATTTTTCTTTCATGCAAAATATTTCGTAATTGGTTGTTCGATTAATTTGTAATTTTATTCAAGTGGAACAATATAATTTTAAGTATTTCAGGTGTATTGTATGTAGAGAGCAAATTGGATTCGTAACGTAACAAATTGATGAATAGTTCAGCTGATAATGTAAAAAAGTCGAATGCTCTGAAACTTTTGGGAAGGTGAGCACTTGCAACAATAACAACAGGTTTTAAATGTTTTGAAACGTTTTGGGCATTTCAATGATAAAGAAATGTTAATAAACGAAAAACTTTTGATATATGATCTTTTACAACAAAAAGTTTTCAATCACGTGAAATTTTCACCCTTAATAGTTTTGGTATCAACAGGCTGGTAATAATCAGAATATGTATCGTTTTTTGGAAGCTTTGTTCTTGTTTCCACTAATATAAATGCAGTCAATAAAAATCAGTCCAAAATATCAATTCCAAAAAAAAAAATTTCAATTCAAACCTAATAATGATAAAAATAAAAATAATAATAATAAATTTTAGCACAAATTAACTTTATTTATTTATTATTTTTCTTTATTATTTACTTGAATTAAATAAATATTAAAATAAATTAAAAAATAATGCACAGCCATTTTTGCATGGGCCAAAATGACAAATATGTCCAATGGTAGATATCATCAACCTATTTCGTAAATGAATTTTTGATTGCATCTACTATAACGTAAGTCAAATTCTAGAATTTCTAAATTTCAACTTGATCATAATTCTCTCATTTGAAAATTTTCTAGCGGGTCCTTACGATTTAAGAGATTACTAACTCTAGGGAAGTCTAATTACTTAATCTATAGTAAGTAACCCCATCAAAAAAATGATAATTAATTTGTAAAAAGCGAAAACAAGAGGGTTTATTATTTATTTTCATTAAGTAGCACATTAAAACATTATAATAGACAAGTTTAATGATGGATTTTTAAAATAATTCTTTGTAATTTTCTTTGACTTTAGGACCGCTTAACATCCCTAAAATTTCTTGGTAAACACAATAACGACAAATCTGCTAACAGTAAGGACTTTTTTAAATAAAACATTTTTCTTTTTTTTTTTTTTCGTTTATTTTTTATTTTTTAAAATTAATTAAATAAAAGGGAAGGTGAAATTCATAACAGATGTTTTCAGATAGCTTGACACCTTCTTAACGTTTCTATACGAAATCTTCGTCACGGTCTCCGGAAAGGTTATATATATATTTTTTCTTGCTAATTATTAAATCGTGTAACATATAAACATAACCTATATTAAAGTACAAATTTTAAGTTATAATTAATTATATTTTAAATTCAGAATTTTGACAATGATTTTTAAACGAATTACGTTTACGTAATGTTTCAAAGATGTGCAAAACCATCCGTGCACAGCTTTTACCAAGTATATAATGGACGTGCTACACATTTCGAGTATTAATAAGGTAATTTCATTTTATCAACCTGAAAAGCAAATATATCGTCACTTAAATTAAATGATTTATTCCTCATAGGGGTTCCGAGAAATTTTTTTTACTGCATTCGAGTAATTAAAAATTCTATTATACCAAAAACGGGGTACTAGTAATCTGATCTGTAACGTAATCTAAAACTGCGTCATTTTGCCGAGGCTGAAATCTTTAGTTGCATAACTTTGTCTTTAATCTCTCTTATTCTCTCGTTGCTTAACAACTTTACGTCATAAAACAATTAATCTTTTTTTTTGTTTTCCAAAATCTTAATAGTTCTTACAGTTTGTCACTATTTTCTAACCATAATCGAGAATATAAAGAAATCTTTTCGCTCAAGGAAATCTAATATAAATAAACGTTGGGAATTCTTTTCTAAAAAAAATAAAAAAAATCAAATCAAAATATCAAATCAATCAAAACCAAGAGAAAAAATAAACATTTACCCATTTACCCAAACGAAATTAAAAAGAAAAATGAACCGATCTCTTCTCATCTTTTGTTTGTTGGGCCTCTTGGTCTTTTTCATCACTGATATCTCTGCTAAATGCACTCCTGATGGTGGCGGCTGCAATTGTGAGAATCTCACCGGTTGCTCATGCGAAGGCCAAGTTCAAAGTCGCTTCTGTGGTTTCGAAATAGGTTGCACGGCGAAGGATGATATCTACCAATGCTCTGGAACAGGAGATATTTGTCATTTTGGCCCTTGCACAAATGGTTGTGAATTTGCTGGGGGTGAAAATGCTCAATGTAAATAAAATAAGCATTTTGAAATCGTTTTTGTAAGATGAGGTTATTTAGCTTTCTTACAGTTGTTAAATTGTACCTTGTTTAAAAAAAATTTTTTTTTTTTCATTTTGATGTACCTTTTTTTTTCAAAAATTTTTCTTTTTTTTTTATTTCGATTAGTTATTCTTAAAATAAATGTATAAATAAACTTTGAGATTTGCTTTATTAAATATTATGGCGTTTAAAATGTAAAATTTTACCATTATTTTTTTTTTTTTTTTAATTTTATTTTTAAAAATTAAATTATGAAAATTCACCGTGTATTTTTAAAATGTTAATAAACTTGAAAGTAAATTCAAATTAAATCTTTTTTTACGACAGAATTAATAATATTCACTCTTTAAATACTTGATTGAGTCATCAAATATGGACTATACGCAATTCGTAGTGATCTTTATTAAAAATAAAAAATTGTAAAAAAATTGTACGCCAGGTTACAGAATAAACATCGACGAAATTTCCGAATTGTTTTCTTTGCTTCTTGTTTGAAGCAAATAACAGTAGTTAATCAATTTCCCTTTGCATAGCTGCCGAAAAAAATAAAAATAAAGTTAATTCTAATCTCATATTTTGCATAAAAAAGTAAATTGATTTTTTCCGGCAGTTCCCCCCCCCCCCCCAGGTCACATATATACAGTGCATTACTCGTTTTTTATTTTTCGTCCTTTTCTCTTCTAAACTTTAACATCTAACAACTTTCCTTACGCTAAGCCTGTTCATTTCTGGGCGGTCAATTAATTTTTTTTTTGTTATTTTTGTATTAATAAGAAAAAGGGCGCATGTGGAAAAGACACAAAACAACTACTATTAAAAAATTCATCAGCTCACAAAAAATTTTAATCGTGTAGCACAAAAAGATCCAATCAGTCAAAAAAATGGACCGTCTAAAATTGAACTGGCCTACTTACAGTCAAAAACCGAAATATATATAACTTCTCTCCCCGTACTTGGATTGAAAATTAAGAACTTTTTCTATATGTGCAAACACTATTCAAAAGTTTTTTCCGATTGTCTAAAAGGTCTGCTGTTCTGGATGAGGAATAGTCATGTATCTTACTTATAACAAGTGGTTCAACTTTTGATCTATTGAATATAATGCCATTTTACAATTATAAATGTTGAATAAAGTATAATGAGTTTACATACTAATTGTTAAACTTGGTCATTTTATAACCGAAATTCATCCAAAAATCCAACTTCACAAGTGCTCAAAAAAACAACCAAAAAATCTGGTAACAGAATGTATAAAAGAATCCAAGTATCATTAAGCAGATTCCACATGACCAGCGAGATAAACAAAGTCAACAACTGAGCAAGACAAAATTGTGTTTTAAAATCAGAATTCTATGCGCGTTCCTTTTTTCTGAAAGTCCTGTTCAGTAATAAGGTACAATATCATATTCGATATCTCTCCAAAAAGGCTTTAAAATATTACTAAAGTGATTGTTTCTTTGTTGCTTTTGCCACTTTCTACTCACTTTTTATTAATTCTTTTATCAATAAAAAAAACTTCGTATTTATAATATTAAAGCCTTCTTTGTAATGGAAATCATTAATTTTAATAAATTCCTTGGTTTAAAACATGTAAAAATGTGTTAACAGATATCCAAGAACTAAGAAGTTACATTTTTGTCGCAAATTATGTAAAGCGTGTAAATGAATAAACAACACTATGCTTAATAATAATCTATACAAATTTTCCGATTTTTACATTCGAATAAGAAAAATAAGACATGAGATTCGAACTCGGATGAAAAATAAAATAAAATAAATAAACACATGATATGCAGCAAAATCTTGCCTTCCGGGTTTTTATAATATCTCAAATCGCATAATTCAATTTTTAATAAAAGGAATCTCATATTTGGAACATTTAACCACTCATCAAATCAAAACTTCCGAGATGTAAAATTTGCATTAGATCTCTTTATTAATACTACTCTTTTCAATGTTTTTTAGGTATTTTGTGTCAATAACGTACTCTCTTAATAAAATTTCTAAAGAATTTAATTTTTCCATCATTTCCCCCATGGTAATTTCTTTTGTAATACTTTTACGGTCGGATAAAGACGAATTGATTAATGGTAAAATCGATAAGTAATCTCTTAATTGGCTTTGCGTTTTTCGTTTAATCCCACAGCAATGTGATTGTACAAATCCCCATGGATGGATTGACGATGCTCCTAACAAAGTTTAAGAAAAAAATTTTAGTCACTGATGAGACTTGAAAAAATTCAAACCACTTACTTACCAAATAAAAATACATAGATCGCTGATGATAACCCCCAAGCACCTGTGTTGTAAAATATATATATTGTATTATATTGGCTTAGCGTATGATGCAATGTTCACATTCTATAAGTAGGATTACTTTACTTACCACCGATAACTCCAAAAAGGCTCATGTACTAGATCAATGTACATGATACGATTAATTTAAATTATAAAAAAAAAGAAATACCATTGATATAAAAATTCATGCCTACCGTTCTAGATCTTTGAAATATATTATGAAAAATTTAGTTTGGCAAAGAAAAACTTTTTTTGCTTTTATGCGAGAAAAAATTTAAAATAAACGAACATACCTTTGTTCAGTTTCAATAACGTTAACAAATGAATTTGGTCTGATTAGGATAATACCAATATAATCATCGGTTTGAACTACTTCAATACCAATATCAAGAGGGAATATCTCTATACGATTTTTTTTTTTTTTTAAAAAATAAACAAAGGAATAAATATATTAAATTTTGTTCTTTCCTTTTATTTTCAAATAATAATAATAATAATTGATAGATTACGATTAAATAATGCTTTGATATAAGTATATTCGTCGTAATTTAAAAACATTCCAAAATTACTTCGCCAGCTTGGAATAATACTTTTCCTTTTATATTTCGTAAATTGTACGAAATTTAACTATTTTTTTTAAAACAACAAAAAAATAAATAAATAAAAATAATAATAAGAAAGAAGTAGGAAAGGAAATTTTTTAAATATTCTGAATCGAAAAAAAAAAAACATACCAATCGATCTGGCATTATAAACCGATTACTAAATAATAACTTTCGTTCATAATTTGTTGCTTGAGAGACATTTAACACTGTTAAATTCAATGTACCATCCGATAACTTTATAGGATTATTCTCTAAATTATATATATATATATATATTTATATATGAAATTTTTTTTTTAAAAAAAAAAAAAAAAAAAAATTAAACAATTTTATATGCAAGAATGATAATTACCTGAATCAAAAATAAAAACATAAGGCGGCGTAGGATCAAATGTTGAAGCATTAAAATTTGGATCATCAACCACCACCGTTAATGACAGACTATCTAATCGTTCTTCATTAAGTTTAGGGAAGGTAAATAAAGTTGAATTATCATTTAAAGAAAAATAACCTCGATATTCCCCTTGAATATATTGTGGAGAAGTCACGTAATTCATACAAGTTTCATTATCGATTTTTTGAGAAACCTCTAGAATTTAAAATAAATTAAATCATTATTCGGAATGTTTATGAAACATTTCGCGACATTAAATTTAAAATACCATTATATGTCCATGTGAAAGTACAATACATTCGAAAAGGATTATCAAATGAAATAACGACATCTATTGTTACATAATTGTCACGGTTAATTTATGGTGGGTCGACGACTCTTTAAAAAAATTTTCCTTTCGTCCAGGTTATTTATTTACCAGGAAGCGCAAGCGAATCCACGGGATCTTCCGAAGTTATAATCATAGGGAGTTCATTATTCACATCAATTATTAACATCGCGATATACAAGATGAAACATGATGAAATTATAAGTAACGTTAATAGACGCATCATAAGAACCACGTTAGGTTCTGATTTACGCTGATTTCCAAGCAAATCACCTAGATTCATTTTTTATCAAAAATTTGTAAAAAAAAAAAAATAAATAAAAAAGTAAGACACTTATATGAGATCATGTGGTACTGGCTTAGGTTGTTGGTAACCAAAAAATTTAACGCTAATCCTTAAAAGAATAATTATTTCGGAGACTTATTATTTATTAGGTCATCTAAAAATAATTACGTTTTGGTTACGTTAAACGATTTAGTAATTGTAACACGACTTTCAAAACTCTATTGTTTCTCTGAATGATGAATGAACACTTTTTAAGTTGATCGTCTTAACACAGTATATATATTGTCTTCCAAAGAATAAATAAACCTTTCAATTCACTCTAATTAAAACTGCTTTGAAAACCAGATTCTTTAACTTTATAGTATTTTTATTAAAAATAACAAATGCGTCAAATACCCTGAAATTTGATTCGTTAATTATACAATTTATCATCTAGTAGGTAATACCCAATAAGGGTATCAACATATTTAATAAAATTAAAACAACGTCAATATTTTAAGTATTTGGTTCATTAGGAGTAAGTTATTGATTTTTGTGTTGTAAAAAGAAAGAATTATTATTTAAAAAAAAAAATTGCTTTCTTGGACGTTTAATTTAATGCAAAATTTTTATATTTACTAAGGTGCAGCTTATGGATGATAATATATATTTAAATGAACAAAGAAATAAAGAAATAAGTTATCTATGATGCAAATTTATGAATTATTATTTTTTGTTTCTATTTCCATTATGGTTTTATAGCTGGTTTAACCGTTAATTTATTGAGTATTTGAAATTGACAAAAGTGATTAGAGCCAAAAAATTTGTTAATATAAGACATATGGGTTGTAAACCACACTTTTCGTTATGATAAATGAGGAAGATTTTTTTAAAGTCAGCAGCCACCTGGTTTTATTATTGAAAAATCCTAATTTAATTAAAAATGTTTTAAGGGAGAGTGTTTTTTTCTTTCTGTCCGTTAATAAGTATAGTTTTTAGGTACCTAAGGTTCGATCGATCCAGAAGACTTTTTCTTATAAAAGGAATTCATCATGTCTCGTTAGGTAAAAATACATTTATAAACAATTCGATTTACTTTTATACACTCATCGAAAAAACCCACCCCCCATGAAGATACCGCTCGTAAGCTTTCTGGTCGTGACTCTTTTGACTTCTTTGGTTGTGGCAATTGAACCATATTGTGTCATGGCTCCCTTTAAGAGACAACAAGTGGGTACTAGTGTGAACGTGACATGGGATGCTTCGCAAATTCCCAAAGGCCTCAAAGCCAACGATATGTTTTCCGCAATCGTCGTGTGTCGCGAAAGAACATATGCTTCACTCGAGAAAAAATTTTTTTCTTTGATAGATTACGTTAATGTCAATATCATATACGGCAAGAAACTGTTTCCGGAAAAAGATTTGAGATGGCGCCGTATAAGTCGTATATATTAACATTTCATTAGGAGATCTTTAAGGTCGGAATAAGGGCGGTCTATATCTCTGATGACCCTGAACTTATTGGCGCTACCTGCAAAGCAAAAGTCTCCATCCAAAAAGTTACAGGATATTCGTATCCGTTCAGGTTACATCAATGTATTATGGGTTTCCAGAATGTCCTTCAACATAAAAAGTATCTGTTACAATTTCTTTTTTTTTTTTTTTTTTATTTTATTTTTATTGAAATTCCCATGTAGTGGAAGACGTGCAGTGGAGTAGTAAACTGCACTATAATGATTAATAAAGATTTAGAATTTCTTACCTTGAATTTGAAATAAGATACTGGCACTGTGAAGTGCGAATCTCATTTTTCTCCTTTACTTACTTCGTCAATCAGACTATTGGATCGCTGACCATTAGCATAATATTCACTTTAAAAGGAATAACTGAAATTATACAAATCAAAGGAAAAAACCATTAAAATGGCCGAAAAATCGAATAAGCATTTAAATATATGCATTTAATGTTTATCGAATAAGGATTTATTATATACAGTATATATAATGATTTTCGACTAAAAATAAGGTCTTGTGCTATAATCTAATAACATCAAAAACTAATAATGTACAAATACATATCTCACTGTTTAATCATTATAATATTAAGATCAAATCGAATTTGAACTCCCAAGCCTATGATGTAAAGTCATGCAAGCTACTGTATATCTAAATTCAACAAAAATGCAATCTAATCTAATTTATGCAACGAGTGGAACGTTTTTTTTTTATTTTGAAGTAAAATCATTCCCAACAAACAGAATTTTTCGTATCTAAATCCACATTTTTTTCTAAATTTTTATGGAATTGAACAAAGATGACTATAATAAATAACAATTCATTGCTTTGTAATAAAAAATAAAAAGGATTCAAGTAATAACGTTCAAAAAAGATCGATAATAGACATTTCCTTTTAGTAATTTCTATTATTCATGGTCACATGTAATTGAACAAATGCCAAAAAATTCAAATTTTTTGACGGGATAACAGATTTGATTATCTCAAATTTTAGCCCTGATAAAACGTTCAGTGGTCGTGCCTATCTTTTTGCTTCTGCCTTTGCGTTCACATGCTACGTGTCACGATAATCCCGAGTTGAATTCAAGCAAAAAGGTTTTTATACATTCATTACAAACTTAAGAATCGTGATCTTTAAAGCTTCATTTTCCAAATCTTTAAACAAAGGTTCGATTGAAACAAACAAAAGATTTGTGCGATATTTTTGTAAAACACATAAAAGTAGTCATCAATTATCAAAAGAAAAGCAAATCTATTTTTCTTTTGGATTCCTCTCATTATGTCTGTGATGTTCTTTGTGCCACATCATTGATGTGTTTAAGATTTTATACAAACAACAAAAACTCTGAATAAAGTTTTGCATATTGGATGATATAATGACGGGGAAAAAAAAAAAAAAAAAAAGGTTTCTTTTTGATTATCGTGATTTTTTATTTTAAAATATTATTCAAATTCAAAAAAAATTATTTCACAGAATTAGAAATTCCGTAAGATAACGACACTCCTTCCACGACAGTATCGATCATTACTTAAGTAATAATGATTCACATGGAATAATTTTTTTTTTTGGGTTCACGTAGTTCAAGATACATAGATAATAATAATATATATGGATCGTTATAAACTCGATTTTGGGAATTGGAAGAAGTTACCGATTCCAAATGTAGATGTAAAGCATCTGATTCACGAACGGAAAATCCGTGAAATCTCATTCGTCGCGTGATGGGGGGTGCATAACGAGAGATTTCTCACGCATAAAACGAGAAAGTTTCTTTTTTTTTTTTTTACCTCGACGTGTAAGAAATTCTCGTGCTATCGCATGTTTGGTTACTTCACCTACCTTTTTTAACAAACGCACAAACAATATTTATTTATCTTGACCTATTTTAAAAATTCGATATTGTTTTGGAGATCGTCCCTTTTTTCACATGAGTTGTCAATTATACAATCTAGCATTATCAAAAAAAAAAATCTATCACCATTTTACGCCCAAAGCTTAAAAATAAGCCTTTCTTATTTTTTAATAGGTGAACCCTTGCGATGACGCAATTTATACAGGTGTAAAAAAAAAAATTGTCATCAAAAAGTAGACTCGACAATAGAAATAAGCGAAAGAACGATCGATTCAAAGAAAAAAAAAAATTTGAAAAAAAAACGTAACGCAAAAGAAGTTGTAATCTGCGATACGGCAAATACAGCACAGCAGACAATTAATACGCCAGAATTCTCTTCCTAAATGATGGGATTTCTTTTATTAAATTTGGTCAGGATCTCCAAAAGAACTTGACATAAAAAGAAAATTTTAATAGGAACCCTTTGTAATTCCCACACACATTCAAAGTCACAAGAGCATTCAGAAAAAAGAATCTCAAGTGGTCAATGCTCAGCCATAGATAATGATACTCCTCACGTTTCAGTATTTTTTTTTTTTTTTTTTTTCCCTTTATTTTGAAATGAAATTAACCTAAATAAAACATTTCCTAATTAAAAAAATCGATTTCCTTCAATTCCCAAATAAAATAAAAAAATTTTTAAAACGTAAATAAAAAAAAAAAACCTTTACTCTATAAAGCATAAAAACAGCTTTATCTATGGTTACAAAACGCCATTATATCTGATAAATAAAATAATTCATTATGAACTGTTTGCTATATATATAATCAAATATCGTTTTTCTTTGAGATTCAAAAAAAATAATTTTTACATGCTTCGAATTTTTCAAACTTTTCAATATTCCCCAATTTTTTGTTTCATTAAAGTTTTATTATTACCTTTATCAAGGTAAACAAATTCCCGCCAATAAAAACAAATTATCATCAACGCATTCGGTTATTCTGTTTATATTATCTGTGAGTTGTCAATCTTGAACATTTTTAATTCGTGGCTGGAACTCTTTTTTAAATTCTTTATTTGTTTTATTTTGTTTAACAATATAAACAAAGTTTTTTTTATTTCGGGTAAAAATATAATATTTAAAATATTTATGTGGTAGAACATTGCAAATAATGTACTTTGTCGTTATTATTATATCATTATATATAAGTTTAACTCCACACAACTCTGAAAACTCTGAATAAAAAAAAAAAATTTTTTTCTAAAATAATTTTTTCAAAAAAGAAAAAAAGAAAATAATAAATAACCAAAAACCATATTAAAAATATACACACTTACATAAATACAATAATATATCTTGTTTTAAAATGACCACCTACGAAACTGATAATGCTGAACAAGTTTATAATAACAATGTTTATGATGATGATGAAATGGATAATTCCTCTGAAACATCAAAAGGTTATACCTCTTCAAATTCTTCCTTTGTTGACGAATCAAAAAAGAATGATGGCTTGATCGTTGTCGAAGATAATAAAGTAGAAAAAAAAACTAAACGGAGCACGAGTAATAGCTTTAAGCGTATGTTCAATAGCAAGAAAGATGATAAGGAAGATAAGGATAAGGAGAAACCTCAATCTGAAGGTTTGGTTCGTTCTTTATCATCGTTGGGATTATTTGGTAAAGATAAGAGCGAAAAGAGCGAAAAGGGCGAAAAGTTCTTGCGTCCAACTTCTCGCACGTCATCAAACAGTGATAAGAAGAAGAGACGTAGCTTCATCTTCTTCTCTGATAATGAAGATGACAATAATAAACTTGATGTGGATTTCAATTTTATGAAGGGTAGAAAATCTAGACAAAATAGTAATTCTGACGCGGAAAAAGAGAAATCCTCTAAAAAGGAGAATCGTCTCAGTCTTAACCTGGGTAAAATTTTGGGTTTAGACGGGAATAAACCTTCTCATAAACCAAACATATGGGATGACACTTTCCTTGAACCTGGTGAAACCGTTGGGACTCCAATTAGTCCAACGAGGAATCATTTTCAAAATGGTTCTTCTCCAACTTCCTTAAGAAATAAACAATTCTCCAATTTTATGGATAGTTCTTCTTACGTTGATTCTCCTGTTGACTCTCTCCGTGATAATCTATCCGGTCCCAATAACGTTAATATCCCTAACCCTATCAGTAAAATCGACGACATCCCGTCAAAAAATAGAAACAACAATTCCGAGGTGACTTCCGACGAATCTCCGGATTATAAATCTCCGAGTGATGATGTTCGATCAACAAATTCTTCTTCTTCTACTGTACCAAGTTCCGTTACCGATCAGGAGGATTATAAAGAAATTCCTTCCTACAACAATATCAGTGGCAATCAACGTAAAACCGAATTCAGTGGAGAAAATATATCTTACGATTACCCTCATCCCATCTCTGAAGGAATTGAAGAAATTGAAGAAAGCGAAAGTGAACAAAATTCTCCTACCACTCCAATTACCCCTCGACTCATTGTCACTGGTTCCGGGCAACACGAATCTGAATTCACTGAAGTTTTTAACGATTCCAATAATCAAAAACAAGTTTCATTTGAGGAAAAGTCGGATGATACAAAAAAATTGGAACAGCAATCTCTTGTCAATTCGACCGTTGGATCGAAACCAAATTCCGATAGGTTGGCCCGTATGAGCGAGATTAAAACTTCAATGAATGTTAAACCTCTTGTTATTTCATCCGTTAATGTAATTCATGATACAACGCATGTCAAACACATCACCCCCGATGTTCAAGCACGAGAAATGGATACCGACAGCACAACCGCAAACATCGTTGAAAAACGAAATCAGGATAACACGACTATCACGAGCGCCGTTACCGCGCAAGTTTATGATAAAGATCAGGTTGAAAAGAAATCATCAAATAAAAAACCATTTTTGCTTTCAAATCTCAATCCATTTCAAGATAAATCTATCAAAGAAAACAATTCCCATGAACAAGTTTTGAAAAAGGTAAATACTATTCTTTCGATATTTTATTTCTGATCATCACGATTCCACGACTTCTTAACTAAATATAACCTAACTTTATAGTTGAAAGAACTTGAAGAGACTAATAGATCTCTTACTGACGCCAAAACAAACCTTGAAACTAGAGTTGCGGAGCAAAGTGGTCAAATTAGCAAATTAAACTCGATGGATCAAATTATGCAACAGCAATTTGATGTTTCTAAACGTATGACAGAAACCATGCTACGTTTAGAATCAAAAGTAAATCAACAAAAAGAAGAATTGGATAGTACAAATGTTGGGAAATTATTTGAGGATACTATTAAACGTTTAGAAGATAAAATCGATCAACAAAACGAAGAGTTAAATTATCTAAAATCAATCGTGGGACAGTTGTGCGTAAGCTTTATCTTTTAAACATGAATTTTTTTTTACACAAGAGGGGACCTTTTTCTCTTGTTTTGCTTTAGTAATGCGTAAATTAACCAATAGCGTATTCTTTTTTTTTTTTAAAAAAAAAAAAAATAATAATAGGGCTGGTGGGAATCCACAATTGTATATAACGAATGGGGAAGATTCACAGATGACGTTAACACCAAGCAGAGAGTCTCTCCAAATAAGAAGTCACGAAGATCAACATCAATCGAGACGAGAAACTTACACGAAACTCACCCTTGTAAATACATTGGTGGTTAATCCATTATACAACACTATTACCGTATCTGCCAGTATCGCTACTTCTGTCTTGTATGCAGTTTACGTAAGACCTGTTGTTGGTCTCGTCAAGGTTGTTAGAAATGGGGCCGCGGGATTTCAATGAAAAAAAAAAAAAAGTATTCTCCGGAACATCATTTTAAAACGCGATCGAACGGTGTTAGAACATGAAGTTTAGAATTAAGATGTTTAAAAGGTTGCGATTTTAACGAACCACATATAATATATCTTACAGTACTGCAAAAAAAAAAAAAAAAAAAAAAAAAAAAAAAAAAAAAACCTTTTTTAAGTTTTTTTTAAAAAAAAAAAAAAAAAAACATTTTCAACAAAATAATTTTTCAATAATTTTCTTTTTATAGTTGGTAAAAGGGGTGGGCAATTGATTTGTATATTACTACTTGTAAAATAATTTAAAGTTGGAAACATGTTTGTTGTAAACTAAATTTTCTCTAATAAACAAACGATTTTCTGATATTGAGCTTTTGAATTGTCACTTTTTTATCGAGTTAATCACCCGAATTTGGAATGATAAGCCACGAATTCACGTGTAATCCTATAATACTACTATAAATACCAAAGTGCTGCATTCTCTTTTTTTAATTTTTTTTTTTTTTTTAAAAAAAAACCAAAAAATGACATCTTCGGGCATTCAGATTCTTGATAATTTTATTTCAAAAACTCGACAAGGTTCAAATTCACAATATTTAGAATGGATACCTTATAATCAATTTGAAGATGTAAAATCTATCTCGCAAAATGAAATTTTAAATGTTCGCACAGCAAAATGGAAAGTAGGACCGATTAATATACGAGAAAATGGAAGAAGAAATGGCCCTATAATCGTTGTGCTTAAAACATTATTTGATTGGAAAAAAAGTAAATCGGAATTATCTACTACCATCTTAAACCAAGTATGTAAAAAAAAGGTTGGCAATATTTTAATTATTGTTTTCCTCTTGCTAAATTTAATAATTTCTCAAAAAAAAAAAAAAAAATTATGAAAGATTCAATACCATTATGATTGTTATGAAAAGTCTCCCGATAAATTCCTGCCAATTTATGGAATTACAAAAGATCCTTCGAAAAATGAATTTATTTCCGTTATAAAATATGCAGAAAAGGGCGATTTACATGATTACCTTGACAGTAAATTTCCTTTACTGGGTTGGGATAAAAAACTTTCAATTCTTTCCTCGTTTCTTCAAGATCTAAAAACAATTCATGAACTAGGGTTAATTCATAAAGATATTCATAGCAAAAACATCCTTCTCTCAAGCAGAGATTCTTCTCAAAAAGATCACCCGAACGGACAAGGTAAATCGTTAATCGCTTATCTTCCTACGTCCGGTCTAACAAGACCAGTAAATGTTCCGATGGAGAATTCGAAAGAATACGGTATTCTGCCTTATATAGCACCTGAAGTACTACGAGGTAAACCATATACTCAAGCTTCGGATATTTATAGTATCGGCATTGTAATGTGCGAATTAAGTACCGGGGAATTTCCATTTAAAAACCAATCAAATGATACAAATTTAAATATTAAAATTTGTCAAGGAGAAAGGCCAAAATTAAATGAAAATGTTTCTCGCGTGTACAACGATGTAATTAAAATGTGTTGGACCTCAGATCCTTCAGCTAGGCCTTGCATTAGAGATCTCGAGAATATCGTGCTGAAATGGCGTAAAAGTTCTGAATTAGGTGTATAATTAGAAAATTGTCAATTCAAATATTTCGTTGCTTTTCAACATTAATAAATATTTGTAATAGACGGCAGTTTATAAGGTATAAATATAAAAAAAAATGATGGATGTAATGATATTTGCTGAGGGTAATGATCGTTAATAAATGTAAATTAATTTTAAACAAAATAATTACCTTTATGATTTGTTTGACTGAATCCTTGCGATAAGAAAAGGAATGAGAATAGATTCATCCATGTGCGCAACACTGTGAAATTGCCAGATATCATTTCATAGATAATGTGTGTATTCAGAGCAATTTTTATTCCGATTTTTTATGTAATTTCATATGAATAAAATTATAGTCAAAAAACTACCGTCTAGCACTGTATAAGCATAGTGGAATTTCTTAAAAGGTTACGAGACGTGACGATTCTTTTTATATTATTCTATTATAAAATATACTGTATATATGAAAATCGTGAAACATATCGCATTTCGGTCTCACTAAATTTTATCAAAATAAATTTTACAAATATCGAAATAACCTTTTGTTTGCTTTATTAATGGTAGAGATCAAATTAGATCTGGGAGTAATTTAATAATTAAAAATGACGAAAAATCGTTATTAACACTATAGAGTTACATGAAATTCAATTTATGTGAAAAATAAAATAGATTATTTTTTATTTTTAATTTTAATTATCCTCATTGAATTTCCAATTAGCATTACCAATTACAGATATTTACCAACTTTTTTTCTATCATTGTTTCTATAAGTATATCTTCATTAATTATTTCTATTTCCTCTTCCTCTTCCTAAACTTCATTTTTCTCTCCTTCCAAATTGTTATCTTCTTCAGTATGTGTCATAGAGCCTATTTCTAATCAATTTAAAAAGAATTTAACATTTGTACAATCAATCCCTTTCTTATAGTAATCTTCATAATACCCACACCTAAGATTGCCTGAGGTTAGCTAGCAAATCAAAACTAGTTTTGATGTTTTGCCAAATTTTTTTAAAAGACAAAAAACTGTCAAAGTTTTAATGGGTAACAAAAGTTTTAACAGATGGAAAGTTTTGATAGGTAAATATTTTGATGTGTGACAAAATTAAAAGATAAAACCTAATGAAAACTATTGATATTAATTTGAAATTTTTAATTATAAAAGCTAAATTTATAAACACTGATAAGCATGAAAAAATAATACTTTATTATTATTAGAGATATATCATTTTATGAAAAAATATATAATTTAAATTAAAGTTTTTCATTAATTCTAACTATGTTACCAATTTCTCAATTATTATTTTCTTCATTTGAATCCATTACAATTTCAACTTTCTCTTCATTTATTAAACTTATTTTTTCATTATCACTTGAAAAATTATCATTATCATCATAAGCAGTGTTAGACTATTTATCCAATTGGACATTTGAACATCTAATTAGATATTCAATTAGACATATAGGAGGTAAGCTATTAAAATCACAGTAAAGATCATATGATTTACTATGTTTGTAACTTGATTTTAATAGCAAACCTTCTAAATATTCACAATGTCTAATAAATTAATTGAACATATAGTAACTTTCATAATTAGTATACCACTTCATTTTTAATTTTTAGGTTGTGATACTTGAATAATTAAAGTAACTATAAAGCTAAAATTTTAATCTAATTTAAAGCTTGTAATCAGATTTTTAATATATTTTTTAATTTGAGTATTACTTAATTTGTGACTTTTTAAAAAAATTTCTTTATATACAATTTTTTCATGATACAATACTTTTGGAATCAAAATTAATATAATAAAGTTATGATCATGCAACACATCTTATACATATAAGAAAATTTAAATCAGTAAATCGATTGTATGCCTTTCTTTTATTTTTTTTAAATATATTATAAAGGCAATTTCACTTCATCAAAGGGAAAGTATTTTTACTCTTATCTAAGAAGGTTTATCAAGTCATACAATTGCTTCTTATGAAAATACAAGTCATGTTTCTGTAATAAGAATCAAACAAAGAAAAGAAAAAACAGGTAACTTTGATGTTATTCCAAAATCAGACTGCCCAAAAATACTTATAAAACATCATAATAAGAATATTGTTAAGCTTATAAGTTAGATGAATTTACAAATGTTATTCAAATTCAAAAATCTTTAATTTTTAATGAAAATATTGTTATTTCACTAAATACTATTCAAAATTCATTATAAAGGCAAGGTCTTATAACTAAAGTTAAAAAAACTATTGCTATTAAAGAGACATAAAAAAGTATGAAAAAAATTTGCTCAAAAATATAAGAATTAGATTATAAAAATTGGCAAAAAATAGTGTGGTCAAATGAGACTAAATTCTTAATTTTTGGCTCAGATAGGAGAGAGTGATATTGAAAAAATCCAAATTTACCTTTACAACTATAATATATTAAATCAACTATAAAGTTTAATAGAGGTTCTGTAATAATATAGATTTGTTTAGCATTAAAAAATATTGTAAAATTAATGGAAGAATAGATAAAGAGTTATATAGAGAAATTTTAGAAAAGGTGATTTTAGAGATCCTTAGTACATATATTTAAATATAAATAATGTTATTTTCTAACAAAATAATGACTAAAAATATATAGCAAAAAAAAACATATAAGTAGTTTGATGACAATAATATTGAAATTTAAATTGGTCAGCACAATCACTTAATATTACTAGTGTAGAAGATTTATGAAATAAGATACAATTAGTATAGAATCAAATTAATGCTAATTTTTATTTAAAGCTAATTGATATTATATCACAATGAGTTAAAGATATACTTAAGACTAATGAGAGATATATGAGATGATGAAGTTTTATTAAAAAAATTAGAATATAGTTTATTAAAAAAAATTTGAAAAATTTATGTTTTTGATTTTATTTATTATATATGTCAGAAATATTATATTATAAAATTTATGGTTATAAAAGAATTTTTTTTAAAATTATAAATAAAAAGAAATTTGAATTTGAATATATTATAAAAAAAATTCAAACAATATTTTAATTAAATTTGCAAATTATTTGATCATTTAACTTATTATAATCTAAAAATTAAAAATGAAGTGATATAATAATTATGAAATCACTAGTATTCATTCATAATTAAGAAGCTAAATAATTATTAATACTATTATTATCATTAAGTTATCAATTCAAAAAAGTAACGATCAGTTACTTTTTTCTTAGAAAGAGTTTAGTTCTGATATATCATATGCTAAAAAAGCAAAAAGTATTGAATAACTTACATTTTATTATTTGTTAAAAAATATGATCTTGATTCAAATACTTTTTTTTTAATTATTTCTTAGTTACTGTGATCCTCAATTTGTTATAAAACTTTAATGACTTATTTATAAAATTTTTTCTTTACAAAATTCAAATTTTTTTAACAAAAAATTTTAATTATACTTTATTAGAAAATTCGTATTAAACTAATACAAGAAAAAAAAAAGAAATATTACATCATAGTTTGAAGAGATAACAAGAAAAATTGATTATATTATATATGAAAATAATAATAGTATAATTAAAATATCCTTTGTAGTATTTAAGTTGAACCTAATGGAAAGTATTATCATCAAAAATGTTACAAATTCTTATGTTAAAAATATAAAAAATATTCAAATAATCTACTTTTAAAATAAGATAATTAAAAATTAAAAAAAAATTATTTTAATAAATAATGAAGTTAAAAGTAGAAAAGTCAAAGATAAAGAAGTTAAAGATATTACTAAAATTTAAAAATTAATAAAACAGAAAATAAATTGGTATCAGTTATCTTTATGAGTATTTCATAATATATTTTTATTCTTCTTTCATTATTCTATCCTAACTATCTTAACATTATCATATCAAATAAAATATTTTATACTAGAGTATTGAGATTTAATTTATTTTGTATTATTATATGCTTTTTTTGCAAAATATCAATATAATATTTAAATAAAGATCTAAGAATAAAATACTTTCATTTAGTTATAAAGGCTGCATTTGCTGAAAGAATAAATAAAACTCTTTTTAAATAGTATTAGCAATAATTGAAGTAATAAACCAAATATTATAAAAAATTTATTATAATTATCAAATATATATATATAAATCTATTATTGATAGTTAAAGTTCAATAGTAAAATAATTTTACTTAAGATTCTAGATCAATTGGAATTGACTTATTTATTACATTAAGAAAAAGTGTTACCTATAGGTTTTAATTATTTATGATTACATTCTTATAATGTATATTAAGCTAGTGAAAGTTTTTGTTTTTGAATGATCTTTTTGGTATATAAATCTATATAGTTATATAAAATTTTTTAAAAAAATTAATAAATGAATAAAATTATTTTTTTATTTAAATAAAATCTATTTATTATAAGAATATAATTACTAATCTATAATCAGATTTTATACAGTAAAAAATTCTCATTTAACACAAAATTCTGAAAAAATATTTTATAAAGAACTTCAAAACAAATGAACTATGTAATTTTACTTATATTATTTAATAATATAATATCTATTTTAAAAAAAAACTAATTTTACTTTATATTTATATGTAGATATTAACCTAAAAACTAATAAAACTCTAATATATATTCTTATAATAAGTTATATATTTACCAATTTAAAACATGTTAATAAGAATATTTACAAAAATTTTTATAAGTATATTATTTTTATAAATAATTTACTAATTATTTATTTATAATTTAAAAACTTTTTATATTTCATATTAATAGTAAAAAAAGTTTATTTCTATTAGCATCCTTTTGAATAATATATTATAAAATATTTTTAATATTTGTATATTCAATGTTGGACTTCAAAAAATGATAAAACAATATGTATAAATAGAAAGTCTAATTTAATATTTACTTTATAATCATAATATATATTAAAGAATATTTGTTAGATAAAAGATAATTTAAAATTATAATTACAAAATCTGATTCTAAAAAATTATATTAAAGCTGAAATTAAAAATTTTTAAAATATTATTATCACAATTTTTCATATATTTTTTAGTCAAAGTCTTATAACTACATTTTATACTTCACATAATAAAACATTTAATAGAAAATCCTTAATATGTAAATATATAAAATAATTATTAAATTTTATATAGTGCTTAATATATATTAGCTATGGTCAATCAAAATAATAAATTAGATGTTATGATCTCAAAAGTTTGTATAATAGCTACTGTAAAGAATTTTTCATATTATGATACATGTAATATATTAAATTTATTCAAAAAAGGTCTTAACAGATTATTAAAAAATTATAATATAATTTGATCATGAAATAAAGTAAGAAAAGTAAAATTTCTGATAATATAAAAAAACTTACTTGATTCAATTTTAATAAGGTAATATAATATTTATTTAAATTATTTATTATAAAAATTAGTATTTTATAAAGATAAAATGCCTGAACAAATTCATAAAAAAATATTTTGTTTATCATTTGATGATCTTTTAATAGATTTTAATATAATAAAATGTATTTCATGTCATACATTTGAAAAAAAAAGTATGTGTGATTTATGTAATATTTGTTCTTTTTATGTGAATTCAAATTTGTAAAGGTACTTAATTAATATAAATATATACCTAAAAAATAATAACTGAAAATATTTAAAATAGAAATATTAATATTTCTTACTATTGAAAAGGTTTTTAGATTTAATAGTTTTAGCAATTATTACATATTTGAGTGATAAAAATATATTTGTATCCATAAAAGTTAGTGAAAAAGCCTTATAATATATAGTATTAGCCATTTATTTTAAAGATTAAACTATTATATTTAATCTATTTAAAACACTTATGTATAATTAAAAGGTTAGAATTTAATCTAATACATTATTTTTATTTATTTAATATTATTATATTTATAATTTTTTTTTTTGATTTAGCAGAAATTCATAAAA